TACAGCTTGCAGAACAACAGCTTGTAGAACAGCAGCTTGTAGAACAACAGTTTGTAGAACAGCAGTTTGTAGAACAACAGCTTGTAGAATTGAAGTTTGTAGAACAGCAGTTTGGAGAACAACAGCTTGTAAAACAACAGCTTGTAAAACAACAGCTTGTAGAACAGCAGTTTGTAGAACAACATGGTGCAGAACAACAGTTTGTAGAACAACAGTTTGTAGAAAAAGGAGTTAATCACTAGACAAGGGAGGTAAGGAATACCCAGGGAAGATCAAGAGAAATTCAGAAAAAATCATGAACCATCAAGTGCTCAGTAAAAGATGAGACAGAAAGAATGGAAATGGTGGTGTGAGGAAAGTGGATCATAACAGAAACACTCTGAACATATGAACTTTGAACATAATAGAAACTCTATGAACATATGGACATAACAGAAACATGTGCAAAGTTGATGGCAGTTCAGCAAAGACATTAAATGAGAAAATTATAATGTTACATTTTATTGACATTAGATACTTGAATTGTAAGAACTGTTGTATCATTGAAAGTATTGTCATGTATAGTCAAGACATTATCTCAGGAAATTATCTGCAAGAAATTACTAGTATTGGATATCCCAGCCTTTTAACTAGTCCTTATGCCAATATCTGCAGCAGCATTCTTAATATGATCACAGGCTTGGGTGGGAGTTAGTAAGACCTAATAAAAAATATCATCCAAATGGTTGAGTTGAGTATATCTTAGTAGAGATAGATTTTTTGTAGCTAAATATATCCGAAGGAAACAACTTGGCAATTTTGTATCTTAAAGTACAAAATTTGTAATGATTGTGAACTGAATTTGCAATGTCCGTGAACTAAATTTGCAATGTCTGAAATAAGTTTGCAATTATTGTAAACTAAGTTTGCAATTATTGTATTTTAAATAAAAAGTAAATTGTCTCAATAAGTCAAATGAGTAGCCTTTCTCAGCCATTTACGAATCAAAGGGAGACAATTTAATGCAATGGTTTTCCCTACTGTGGAGATCTCATGCTAACCCCCTAGAGATGAATCAGGGAAAATTTAATGACTCTGATTACCACATGGAGGTACTTTCGATAGTTCTGAGAGCCACTTGTGGGCAGTTCTGAGAGCCACTTGTGGGCATTGTCTAAACTGATTATGAAAACCATAAAACTTAAGTTGGACTGCACGTTTTTTTTCATTTAAATCATTACCTCTGGTTCCAATGACTGCATTCAATGTCTGACATGTAGTTGCTAGTTTTTTTAAGTTATGTCTGATGTAAGTTAAAAGTGGCAGATGAAATGATCACACAATTAGAAATAACCCGCCAAACAATGGTGTGGCAATGGCTTAACTTCTACTAACATGACTTGACAAACATGCATTCAAGTAAAGCACTTAATAAGATTCCAAACTAATGCTAACTTCTGGGACATTTTATTATAGAGCATTTATTTTAATTTATAAAAATAATACTTCATTTTAAAGAAATTTTTATTTATATATAGACCTAGTTATAGCCAGTTTAGCCAGATTTAAATTGATTCAATTTTCAAAAAAAAAAAAGAATATCTCACCATTAGTGTTTTTAAGAATTCCCATTTAGAAATAGGAAATTTAGTTTGAGCGGCCGTCCAAAACAAATTTACATTCTGTTTAGTGCACTTGTATTTTCAGTGGTATTGAACAAAGCGTAATCCATACATACATCCATAGATACCTAGAAAATGATTATTTGTGATACTTTCCTGGCTTAGCTCATGTTTCAGTTTGAATGAGAGCCTAGATCTTTGTAGATTTATCAGCAGAAAACGTTTGTCTCATCACAAACTTGTGGTGTTGATGGAAGTGGTGGTCACTGTTTTTATTTTGAAGTTATGACTTGACGTGTGTCTGTCACCGTCTTAACATCTCTTTAAACAAAACATCAAAGCTGTGGCATTGTTTGAACCAGGCTTATGAACATTGTAGAAGTCATTCAGCAAGACATGAAATGAACTACATGAAAATAACAAAAAATTCTTTAAAAAAAAACTATTGTATACGAAGCCAAAGGTTAACAATAAAATGTGTTAGGTGAAGCAATTTTACTTGTACCTAACTATCTCCCCGTTTGTATTTGAAATTGACGTACTTTGTAAATATTGATATTCCCTATTTGTTTGAAATTAAGACCAACCCTTTGTTTTATGTTTTTAAAAATAAATACCATATTTTCATATGTTGCTATGTACATTTGCTAAACTATTTATGAACAAGCTTAAGCCGCTTGTTCTAATAAATTGAGCACAGTTTTTGTCCAATGCCTTGTGCTAGCTGTCATCACCAATTTGGATTTCTCTTTACAATCCTGCTTTCATTATGAAGATGTTACTCATGTCAGCTGAAGGCTTAATTGTTATTCTTGGCGGTTTTCACCTGGTCAAAAACCAGCCCCATGTTGTTTGGATTTTTAAAGCACTTCCAGATTTAGTATTAATGAAAAAAATATTGCAAATCTGGAATAGAGAAAAAACAAATATTCCCATTTTGCCACTGTAGTTGCTTTGAATTTCAAGCATTTTTGGGGGGTCTTTTTCTGACATGTTTATATCCAGGCAGTGGATATGATAAACATGATCCAGATTCCAGTTTGAAAAGATTTGACAGGTGATGAAATATTTTGTATTGTTATTCTAAAATCTCAATACATACAAATTTCATATATGTCAGTATGTATAAAGGGGCCATACAACCTCTCACTATTTTTTTTAGATTGTAAACACACCCCCACCCCCAACCAAATTGCCACATGCTCCCAACCAACGCCCTAGATGCATTACATCATTTATGGTTCCAAATGTGTTAATGTCAATGTGGATAAATCACACAAAAACTCCTTTTGTCTAACACATGGGGAAATGATTGTCATATTGCCATATATTTGTTTCTGTCAAATGAGGTGGTTAGAACTTTCTTGAAGTTAAAGTCAGGTGCAAAGAAGAGACACAGACAATCCTAATGAGAGTGCTGAGAGAGAAAGATGGCTGCTTTAAACAAAAATGGTTTTGTTACTGTTGAATTATTTTGTCTCAAAGTTGCAGTAAAATTTATCAACTTAATTAAAACAGAAAAGAATATTGACTTGTTTCAGTTTCTGATCTGACAATTGTATTCTGTCACTGTATTATGTCACTGCATTGCCTTACTGTATTGTGTCCATGTCGTCTGTCCATGTAATGAGTCACTGTAGTGTGTCACTGTATTGCCTGATGTTTTAAAGCTAGTAAATAGAAGCCAGTTGGGCAACAACTCAAATGTTAAAACATGATCAAAACTCCATTACTTTTATAATCAGATGTGAACTTTTATTTTTAAATACATTACAAATTGATTTCATGAGGACAATGATGGCATCATATAGTTATTTAAATAAATAAAACAATGGCAGATTTTGATCTTGTACTTGAAATATAGAAGAATGGAGATGCATTTTGATCAAATTAATTTGGTTCCTACTGTACCTTCTGTATAAATTACATAGTAAATATAACATATAGATAACATAATGTGTATTACAAAGTGAATAAAACCGATGACATAATGTGTGATACAAAGTAAAAACAGATTAATGATTTTTAACAAAATTATAATGCAAGTTATTCAATGACCAATATGGAATATTTAATTAGGTGGAATGATAAAAATTATTTAGCTTAATAATTGGGAAAAAAAAATTAGAAATAATCAAATGCAAACTATAGAGAATTATTGTCTCTGCCAATTGTAAGAATGTATTATCTCCCTTTGCTTTTAAGACTTAAAGTGTTGGATAAAGGGCTTCACAGCAAACATGAGTGTAATTTACTGTCATGTTTTAGTCAGCAAAGAAGACAATTTTTTAAACCGTACTCTAAATATACTGTTAGAGAGTAAACATGCTTCTAAGAAAATAGGTTAACATCCCACCACGTGCTCTGATTGGACTTACTTTGAAATAGCCTAGATCTTATTTTTTAATGGTTCTGGTCTGTATCTTACTGGGTGAAATAATGTTACAATACTTATTACATTAGTCAGACATTGATGGTTACATATTTTAACTCCTTACACCATTTACATTAGTTTCTCCCCGTCTTCTCCCNCCCCCGCTACAGTTAAATATTTTAAAAAAATGAGGGTTTAAAGCATTAAATAAAAAAAAAATTATTCTTTAAAAAAATATATTTAAAATGAATTGACCTATTGAACATCTTTGATTCTAACAATCAGTCACAGTGTTTAACATTCAGACAATCGGCAACAGTGTTTAACATTCAGACAATCAGCAACAGTGTTTAACATTCAGACATACATTTTTTCATTTATTTAAATTATTCGTAAGCTTATTTTGCATAATCTCAACAGTAATTTCATCCTACATGGCTACAAGCATATTATATGTACACAAGAGTATGAACAACATATGGCAGCATTTGATTAGATAGTTTATGTAATAATTATAACATTGGATGTCATAACAAATTTACCTGTAAAATAACTTGTGTTCATATCCTGTCACTGCTTGTAGTGAGACTATGACAAGTTTGTTGGTAATTGGTAACTGCTACTTGTTGAGACTATGACAAGTTTGTTGGTAATTGGTAACTGCTTCAAATTGAGACTATGACAAGTTTGTTGGTAATTGGTAACTGCTTCAAATTGAGACTATGACAAGTTTGTTGGTAATTGGTAACTGCTACTTGTTGAGACTACGACAAGTTTGTTGGTAATTGGTAACTGCTTCAAATTGAGACTATGACAAGTTTGTTGGTAATTGGTAACTGCTTCAAATTGAGACTATGACAAGTTTGGTGGTAATTGGTAACTGCTACTTGTTGAGACTACGACAAGTTTGTTGGTAATTGGTAACTGCTTCAAATTGAGACTATGACAAGTTTGTTGGTAATTGGTAACTGCTTCAAATTGAGACTATGACAAGTTTGTTGGTAGCTAGCTGCTCATATTTCAGACTATGCCTGTCTTTTTGTAAGATCAAGGGGAACTTCCTGCTCCCTTACCTGCTCCAAATAAACCATTTGCACACCAACTGCGTGTGTTAACAAATCCAGGTCGACGTTGTGTGTCTGCAAGGTGTGGAACTCCTTCATGTCGACGTCGGGAAAACTCTTGACAGGTGACGGACCTGCCTCCGTGAGGGCCACAGCGAACGGGACCATCCAGTTCACGCACTGAGCAACATTTGCTTTGTTCAAATTCAATACATCTAAAATGGCCTCATTACGGGTGTGATGGACCAGAGCGGCCGCCGCTATGTTGCTGTAAGGGAAGTGAAGGGAGCCCAGGTCCAGGAGGCACAGGTCACAGAGTCTGGACATCTGAACGAAGCTGAAGTTGGAGAAGAGAGGGAGCATGAAGCCCGTGTTGGGGTCAGTCAGGCGATTCGCGTTGACCAACTGGAGAAAGATCCCCAACCAAGCGTTGGTTGTCATGGGACAGAGCTTCCACTTGAGAACTTTGACAATGATCATTTCCTGTCTGAGGATGTCACGTACTGAACACACCGTGTCAGTGACATAGGCAAATTCAGTGACTTTAGGGGGGTAGATCTCCTCTTGTTTAGCGGCCAAGAAGAGAGCCGAGATGCCGATGAGCTGCAGCTGGGTTCTGCGGACGCCCCGGGTCAGACTGAGGTAGCGGTCTGTGAAGTCAACAGCCAGGCAGAATGTTTCCCTGTGAAGCTGGTAGGCGTCGCAGACCTCCAGCAGCCAGTTGAGTAGCACGGATCTCATCCGTGACGCGAGCTCCGGGTGGTTGGCCAGCATGTAAGGGTCTCGGGGTAGGTCCCTTTCCTTTCTCAACATGTTCTCCCACACTTCACGTGAGTCAGCCCAGCTGTTGGGAAGAAAAGAAGGGAGATTTAGATGAAGCGCCAAAGATGTTTCAAACACATAACGAAACGAGAAAATGTTCTTTAAATGTTCCATGACGGCAAAGTGGTTCTCAGTAGTAGAGTCAAACATACCCGTGTATTATATGGGGGGTAATACTGGGTGCAATAATTAAGTGGGGGGGGGGGGGTTTTTGCTAGGTGTAAGTAAAAATCATCAACTTTACAATGGACGTTAATTAACGCTAATAAAGACATTAGAATATTGGTCTGGAGAAGCTACCTAAGACATTGGAACATTGGTATAGAGAAGCTACATAAGACATTGGAACATTGATATAGAGAAGCTACATAAGACATTGGAACATTGGTATGGAGAAGCTACATAAGACATTGGAACATTGGTATAGGGAAGCTACATAAGACATTGGAACATTGGTATGGAGAAGCTACATAAGACATTGGAACATTGGTATAGAGAAGCTACCTAAGACATTGGAACATTGGTATGGAGAAGCTACCTAAGACATTGGAACATTGGTATAGGGAAGCTACCTAAGACATTGGAACATTGGTATAGAGAAGCTACATAAGACATTGGAACATTGGTATAGAGAAGCTACCTAAGACATTGAAACATTGGTATAGAGAAGCTACATAAGACATTGGAACATTGGTATAGAGAAGCTACATAAGACATTGGAACATTGGTCTAGAGAAGCTACATAAGACATTGGAACATTGGTCTAGAGAAGCTACATAAGACATTGGAACATTGGTCTAGAGAAGCTACATAAGACATTGGAACATTGGTGCGGAGAAGCTACATAAGACATTGGAACATTGATCCGGAGAAGCTACCTAAGAAATTGGAACATTGTTCCAATGGAGAAGCTAAATATGATGAGGCATAGATCACTTGTCTGGACGGTTTGAGACAAGAAAATATTGTTTTAAAAGTTGTTTATATAATAAATTATGTGTGCTTACCAATTTGGAATTGAGCATATTTTTAAGCAAATGCAGAAGACATATTACAGTATAGAGCGATAGGAGGCTTACAACCTTACAGATCCATTAGAGACATTTAAGTACCTAGGTGTCACCATTTGTTACAAGCTAACATGGCATGAACACGACCAAATGCTGTGTTAAAAAATTCATCCAAAGACTTTTACATCTTTCAAAAACCAACAAATTTGCCGCACTTCATTAACTTATGCTACAGTGCTACATTAGGAAGCTTACTAAACTTCAGAATCGTCTGCTAGTGTTGGAATTCATTTGATATCAAACACCAATGGAGTATTTCAGACTTTTCAGACTAAAAAAGCTAGCACTAGTTGGGTCATGATGCGGTAGGACAGGACGAAAACTCTGATTAAACAGTTCTTAATCTATGACAACGGTCAATTTGATATGTTTATTTTACATTCAAATTATTTAATTTGGTATGTTGACGACTCATATTATGTTAAGCCAGCGGTTCTCAACCTTTCTAATGCCGCGACCCTTTAATACAGTTCCTCATGTTGTGGCGACCCCCAACCACAAAATAATATTCGTTGATACTTCATAACTGTAGAGTATATGTGTTTTCAGATGGTCTTAGGCGACCCCCGTGAAAGGGTCGTGCGACCCCCAAAGGGGTCGCGACCCACAGGTTGAGAACCACTGTGTTAAGCATATGTAAGTCTGCCGACTTGATATCAAATACACGTTGAAGAAAGTTTTATTATTTAGATAGATTTGTATGCGCTGACAATACAATGTCCTATGTGCTCCGACAAAGCTTCAATAGACGAAACAAATACAGTGAAACTATCATAATTAACAAGTGATGCATTAAAATAATGATCGAGACCAGCATACATGATGTGTTTTAGTCAGAAATGACATATCATGAATACAGTAAAGGAAATTTGTCTTGAATACAGTAAATGACATGTGTCCTGAACAGAGGCGTGGCGAGGGTGTTTGGCGCCCGGGGGGACAAGATTCGCACCCGGGGTCAAGATCCATTTTAAAGCGCCCCCTTTTCTTTTTTTCAACTCTCAAACCCATTATTTTGACCAATAATATAATATCAAAGCACATTTTGGCGCCCCTAACTAGCTTGCGCCCTGGGACATCTGCCCCCCTGTCCCCCTCGCTATGCCTCTGGTCCTGAATGCAGCATTAAACAAATGAGAAAAAAAAAGTAGACTTACTTAAAATCAGGTAATGGACATCTCAAAGAAGACTGTGAGGGAGCAAACACTTCTTGAAGATGGCGGTCGGGCAAGTAAGAGTTGTCTGCCGTGTTCCATGGAACATTTTCCATTTCCACATCTGTCACGTCGGAGGCGGTGAAATCAGAGTCGGTGAAGTAAGAATCTGTCAAGTCAGACAGTGTCACGTCCGAGGATGTCACGTCAGACCCGGTCACGTCAAGCGTGACCACTGACACTGTAGAGTTGGAGTCGTTCGCCTGCTCACCGTTGTCCAGCTCCACAACCTCCCCGATGTCCAGCTCCACAACCTCGCTGTACGCCACCTCCACCACCTCGAGGATGTCTTCAATTTCAACCTGAGGCTCTGGCACTGCGTCCACTGTCACCTGACGCTGGAAATCCACATGTAATCCACTGCCACAGTCCTGAGCTTGGGTGGCAATCTTACTGGCTTGCTCTGACGACATGGTCGGTGCTGGCTTCGCTCAGTGTTAATGTTTGGAGACTGGTGAACGTTGTAATTCCTAACACGTGAACTCGAAGCGCAGCTGACCAGTCCAACTTTCAACGGTGAGTGTAGAGAGTCCAAATGAATCTGGATGCAGACTGACCTTCCAATTTATACGGTATATCACGTGACTCATCCATTTTTGTTTGGTATTTATCTTAATCCGAGCAAGTAACCGGCTGGGCAGCACCTTCCTTCGGGCACTGCCGGCCGGTGGAAGCGATTGTTTGGGTATGGTCAAGCTTGTGTAACCCAGATAGGTGCAGGGTGGGCAGCTGATAACGTGGGTGACCAATGTGGTGCAACACCAACCGTCCAGTGGCCAGGCGTACGTGTCCGGTAAGGTGGACCATATGGAAAAGGGGGGGGGGGAGACTCTGAACAATTCAGTGGGACGAGGACTCGAAGCTTCTGTCAAGTCTTGGTCAATAAAGTTTTGCCAGTCATCGATAGAAAAAAAAACATAGGTCTACACTTGTTTAAGCACGAATATAATTATGGGAAAATTGACGAAAACAGGTTGACAATTATAACTAGTCTGTATCAAATAAACCACTTATAATAACTAGTCTGTATCAAGTACACCACTTATAATAACTTGTCTGCATCAAATGCACCACCTACAATAACTTGTCTATAGCAAATAAACCACTTATAATAGCTAGTCTGTATCAAGTAGACCACTTATAATAACTTGTCTGTTTCAAATACACCACTTATAATAACCACTAGTCTCTATCAAATAAACCGCTTATAGTAACTTGTGACGTTAAATTTAAACTGTTTTGTTTTTATATACATGTTCAAACCAAAGAATATTAACAAACTTGTTCATGGTTGGTTTCAGTCAACATCGCTTCGTCTGGACAGTTTAAAAAAAAAAATGGAAATATTAACGCAATAAAACGGATAACTTTTACGTCATAGCTATGAGCAGTTCATTACATATTTTGTGATTGAGGCGTATCGATAGATTGCATGTTTTGTGATGGAGACATTTCGATATGTTGATACAGCGCTTGAATCAATTAAAAACAATTGGAAGGTCAAGTCTGGTCAATTGATCTATAAATAGAGGCCTCGGTCATTCACATTCTACTGGTTGATGCAGTAAACTTAATTGTGGAGCAATGCCAGCCTGCAGAAATGAGCCAAAAAAAGAACGGGGAAAGTCTTAAGGAAAAAGCACTCACTGTTTTGCGCTCTCTTTTTTAAACGTTTTCCATAATTTGATTGGCTCATTTCCATTTTTCTAACCTGATGGCATTGTCTCTCTCTCCCTCTCTACCCCCCCCCCCCCCCCCCCCATTTTTTTCCACCAGATGATCAATGCCAAGATACAAGGAGTTGAAATAATTTCCCACTCTTCAATGGTGGGCTGGACATAACTTGTAGGTTTGAAACCGGAAGCAATGTTTGAAACCTGCACCCAGTGGCGTTCCTAAGTGGGGGGCGCCCCACGAGCGATTTTGTTTAATGTTATTTTAGAGCAACACTTTATACAAAGATGTTTGTAGTTAGAAGTGTGTAAATAGATGTGTGTAAACCTACACATTTTGGCACCCTGACATTGGTAAGTCTGGCACCAATCTCGGAATCGTGAATTCTTTTGGCTGCCCACTCGGATATTACTTTTCAGCCAAGTGCTATTTTTATTTAATTCTGTTTTTACCGTTTGTTCGCCGATGAAGGCTTCCTGTCGACACGTTCGTTGTTTTGTTGCCTCCTCTTTTCAGGTTCTCCCATTCTTTGTTGTATCAATCATTCCATTTTGTAATAACCTGATCCCAGTCGTCCCCCACCCCCCTTTTTTATTACCGTGGTAAGAATCGCAACAACCCTCCCCCCCCCCAAAAAAAAAAAAAGAAACACCCCTAAATGACGTCATTGACCAGAGCTGGAGTAAGAGGGTCATTTAGTCCAATTCGTTGCATTATTTTTGCTCCGAACCTCCCCTCCCCCCAACCTTAAAGACGTATGACGTATTTGTTGTGCCACACTAAGAGTTTTGATTGGTTACCATGGTAACTGACTCAAGTCATGCATCATTCGTTTGTTGTTACGTGCATATGATCTAATGGTACAGTGGCTTCAACAGGATCACAGTATGAATAGTTCATGTAGATTGAATAGATCACCGTAAGAATAGTTCATGTAGATTGAATAGATCACCGTAAGAATAGTTCATGTAGATTGATTAGATCACCGTAAGAATAGTTCATGGAGATTGAATAGATCACCGTATGAATAGTTCATGTAGATTGAATAGATCACCGTATGAATAGTTCATGTAGATTGAATAGATCACCATAAGAATAGTTCAAGTAGATTGAATAGATCACCGTAAGAATAGTTCATGTGGATTGAATAGATCAC